TACCAGCGAATTCGCCGGCAGTCTTCGCGGTTAAAATGTTTCGCCAAATGCAACGTGTCCTTTTGAAGCGCAGAGTTCAGCCCTCATCGGTTCTCGGAACTGGATTTCAAAGAAAGGACTTCAGCCAAACCGATGTTTTCATAACATATCGATGTCAGTTCGTGGTCTCTCGTGATAAATATTGATATCTCTCGCGTACTGTTTTCAAACATGAAAGCAGGTTTAGGTTGGATTTGATCGATGATAAGCAAATACCGTGGTTTCTCAATCCTTTGCACTCTGTTGGCTCTGCTGTAAAGATATGATTTGCATCGTAGATGTTGTATAATTAACTTCGAATTGTAAGATTCTCTTTTTACTCGAGTAAAGTAAATTGATAGAGGAAATTCAGATACGTGAATCTATGAATATTTGGAATTTCTCTTTTGCGAAGCGAATTTTTAGGTTGAAAGTCTGACGATAGAAATGAACTATTAACCCTTTGCACTTGAGAGGCGACTCCCAGTCACCAGATAGTTTAATACAGGAAAATTATAAACCTTGGTATGTACCATTAACCTTTGTACACTGCATCGATAAATGAAATATTGAAAGAAAATAGCTTTGTTCCCTAATTCATGTGTTTCCTTGATAAACTCATTTTAACACACTGCGTACCAGCTAATTTTCAGAAAACTGAATTGTGATGGCAATTTTCACTGAGGTCAACTTATATCACTACATAGAAAAACTCAAATATCATATTGTTATGTAATATATTTTAAACAGATAACCAATTCGAATCAAATTTTATGTTCTTTAATGCTGTAGTAATTAGCAAAGTTTCATAGCTAAGTGTCTTTATATAAAAACGAGATTTCTCGTTACCGGTACGCAATGTTAATGAATCTTATCTACATCTAATTAGAGAGTATCGAATATTCCAAGCGAAAAGCTCGAGCGCAAAAGGTTAATTTTATTGTTCTATTGCAATTCTGAAACACTGTAATATAATGTTTACCTGACTTAAGGTTTCTTAATAGTACAGTTGCCACGTGTTGCTCACAGGTGTGAAGCTAATAGCCTTCATTCGACATTCCCCTAACCGTCGCTTTGTATTGATCACGTACTCCACGCCGAAACACGAATTTGCCGACCCTAATAAGCTTTACGATCACATTATACCTGCGCCATCATGTGCACGGTCAGGTGCAACGACATCTCCCAGGTAAAAACCTGGAACTTACAACTTCATCTGGCCGCCACGTGTTCTCACCTGAGCCGCTCCTCATTTGTATTCGCTGCTATTGAGGAATCGAGAGACCTGTCGGCGCCATTGTCCTTCGCTGACCACTGGCGACGCTCGGGACATATGGAAGTGATAAACTTGGAGTTTTTACCTGGAACGCCTTGTTATACTTGGCTGTACACGTGGTACGGTGTCTGCGGGAGTAGAATAGAAAGCGAAGTAAGAAACGTGTCGCTATGGAAATGCTATTCAACGATGTTTTTTAAGGACTTTGTAACTGTACGCCGCAACGGGAAATTGGAAGGCACCTTAATATCTTCAGCACGAACGATGACGCTGACGGATTGCGAATCTGTTCGCAGTTAATGATAATTATAGTGCCTTCGATAATATTCGTAATAATTATTGAATAGAAACTGAATAATTACGAACGAATGAATTTCAGGTACAATAGAGGAATGTAAATTATTCATTGTCGATTTGTTTTACGAGTAATGTTTATAAATATTGAAGATATTTTTGATTAAATTCAATGATTGAATAGATGATCGATTTAGAAATCAGGAACTATTAGATTTCCATTGAAATGTAACGTTTAGATTTGAAAAATAGAACGAATGCTTAATTATTACATTGATGCGGTAGCAATCGCGAATTAGAGCCTATGATATCCATCTGCCTCGATAATTGACTCAACAAGGTCCCCGGTATCCGTGACAATCGGAAATCTATAACGAACCGAACACCTCTTCCACGCGTTTCACCTTTCATTGGAACCGATCGTTCGAGGGAACGAATAATTACGGAAAAGCCGTCCGCGGCGGAGAAAGAATCGTGCCGCGCGGCCCGCTCGATGGTAGATTCATTGCCGCGGTGAAAGAACCGAAGAAAAAGGAAAAAAAAAGAATAGAGATCCGATAATTTCACGCACATTTGATTTCCTCGCGCTGAATCCGCTCGGCCATCTTTAGATTCTCTATGGCCCAATGACCTGCTACACAATAATGCCGTAAAGAGAAATGCTTCCTACGCTTTTCAGCCGGCATTTCACCGAAATGGGCGGATGCCGTTCTCTTTGTCGCGTGCAAGCGTAAAACCCACCAATCTATTGTTCCTCGTTCGAAATTAATGAAGATTCCCTCGTAAAAGCCGAATGCACCGTTCGCGGATCGACGATCTCCGGGGAACACTCGTGAAGAAGCTTAAATCTCTGAATGCCAGGAAAATCTCCGTGTATATTCGAGAAATACCAGACAATTTTAATGAAAGATGCATGATTATAAGCAGAAATTTATATTTCGGTGAATTTTTATCTAACATTCATACAATCTTTACACAATATTGAAAACACGTTGGATAAAAACAATAAAAAATCGAGAGAAACTTTTTGCAAGTGCAAGGAGCGATTTATCGATCCTTGGTACTCAAAGTGTAAAAAACAAGCTTAGCTTCAATTAATCAACTGAAAATTGTAGAGTATCGTAAAAACATGTTTTCCATATGATAATATGGCATTGATACGAATATATTAAAGTTAATGGTTTCGTATATTCACAAATGAATATCTTAATTGATGTTCCTAATTGATACGCGTTTAATGGTCGTCATTTAAAAAGGCTATCACTCGCTTGTTGGAATTGGTAATACGAACAACGAGGATATTGTATTACGTAATTACAGTGATCTAGAAATGCCGCACCGAGGATTCCAAAATCAATGAGCGCAACGTTCATTTAGTGCGGAGTCGCAATCAACCACGCGCCGTTGGAACGATAACGCAACGATTCGCGTAATTACACGCGGAATATGAAAATTTCCCCCGCGATGGTTGTACGTTACATTCGGATACAGCGCTTCCTGGGTTTCAACACCCTCCAGCGGATAGAGTTGATGATCTAGTTTATTAGTTGTTTAACAAGCCAATAATGTTTCCTGGCTGAACGAAATTTTCTCCTTTTTTCACCGGGAATAGATTATCATTGATTTATTGCCGCAATTAAAACATAAAGAAAGTTGTTGCTAATTGACGGATCGACATGAAACTCGCAATTATATAGTAAAACGGAGAAGAATTTCATTTTTAACGACCTTGCGGGAATAAAATTGAATATTCGATCGAATCTGAACAGCCTTTATAGAGACATTTAAAAATCCCAATTGGATTATAAATGGAGTGATAAACGAAGAGATAACACCTTGGTACTATAAGAGATCGGTTAGAAATTTTCGGAAACTTTCGGAATTCCTTTGTGCATACGCTCTTCCTAATTACCATCCGATTCGAATAAAATAGAGTGGAACCTAATTATGTTAGATTAACGGTGAATCGTCACGATTAAAAATCGAACGAATCGCCGATAATTGGATTCTGTAGACCATCCAGCGGACAGTGCTTGACTGATTCTCGTCGTCAGCAAACAACTTTCTTTTCCTGGTTTCTTCCTTTGCGAAGGAACCGCTGGAGAATCGTTCATTCGAGTCTCATCAACCCTCATCTGCTTAATTTCTCTTTCAACGCCGTACAAGCGCAATCGTAAAGAATCAATGTAACAGAAACAAATAACATTCTCAAATTCCTGTAGTAAATTTAAAGGAAACATTCCTTTACTTCATATGCAACATTATCCTCTAAGTTCCCCATTAACCAGTTAAGTGTGGGATTTAGTTTGAAAAAACTCTCATTGTGCGCAATAAAATCAAATAATGAAGCGTATACTTGTTAAATGCAGGCGAAATGCACTTGAAATATATCCTAACGAAAAACTAAAGCGAAACGAAGAAGACATGTTTGTCTCAAAAAATAATCCATCGTTGAAAAAGTTACCATTAAGAGTTTCAAGACGACGCGTACACTCGTCAAACACAGTTAACTGGTTAACAGACAAATCATTGTTACTTGAAGCACAAAGGATGAATAATAATTAAACAGCGAGAGCCGTTCAACTGGGAATTGTCTCGGCGCATTAACAAAGCCGTCATAAAATTAGTAATTCAGTTTTTGTGTGCAAATTGCCGGCGGCTAGGAGAAACCATGAAAAAAGATGAGGGCAGCTCGCTAACGGCGAATAAAGGATCAAGATCCTTAACGACGTATCTCATCTTCCGTACGTCGGCCCGCGGTTCTTCGATCCACTAACATTCACACGGTTTTCACTGCCTCCGTCTGTCTCCTTCTTCCACGTGTCGCGAACAAAGCCGCGGCTTTTGCACGGTTCGGTTGGCGACGCCTGACGAAAAGCAACTGTTCTCACGGGACCGCGGACTCCATCCTGAAAACAAGCTGTGCCCGGCCCGTTCGCAGGAAGATTCTCACGTTTCGCAACGAGACTGTTCTTGCTCCCGTTTCCGGTCTTATCGTTAGACAATGGCGGACCCAACAAGCGAGAATCCATACCGACTCGACGGCGAGATCGTCCTTTCCCGGTTTTACTCTCGGATCAACCCCCTATCGGCGACGCCTGGGTCTGTCTTGACCCGTACTGTTAAAAACTTCGTTTAATTTTTTGTTTTTTTTTATTCTTGATTTAAGTGATTGGTTGATTATGTTGGTATACCCAGATCGAAAAAATGTAATTAAATCAATTTGATTGAATTGCGTTATTATTATTGTATATTCGTCTAGCTGAATGTAACTATATTGGGCATTATTTGCAATATATAAATCTTTGCAAATGATCAAATGAGTAAAGTGTAGTAATTCGATTTGGTTGGGGGTCACCGGTGACCCCAGCATTCAACGTGTTATCCCTTTGCACTCGAAAGTTTTTCAAATATGCGATCCTTTCTGATAGGATACAGACGATCTTCTTTTAAACTAATTAATGAGAAAACATATATGAATTAAGAAGGAAAGATATTTTATTTTAATATTCCACGTATTGATGCATTATACAAAGCTTAATATTATATATAAGAC